ATCGCTAAGGAACTAGATAGCCTAACCTTCCTTCCGATCTATTCTAGATACTGGAGGAGAACACAAGATACGAATCAAGAGTCCTAGCCTCCCAGAGACGGAAGTCACTAATGGAGGTGTGTGGGTTTGTCAGCCACTGGATGAGGAGGGCCCATCATGGCTACTGCCAAAAAGAGGTGTCAGTCCTCCAGCTCCCTCCTACTGTATCTAGCCCAAGTTCCCAAGCAGTTTATGGTGCTCTCCCTTTCCTCAGTCCTCTTTGGCCTCTCCAGGCTGTGCTCCTTGGTGCTTCCTCGCCTTTGCACCCCCTGCTCCTTTGGTCTGAGGGACTTCTGGCTAAGGCAGGGGCAGAATCTGAGCTGCTTAGTCTGCAAAACCGGAGAGATGCAGGGAAGGAAGGGTGGCAGGAAGTAGGGGTACTAGGAACTCTTCGAAGAGGGTCTTTCTGTGTTTATATTTCAAGAACAGGGCACCCGTTCCTGCTCCAGGAGGCTGCCTCTGGACTTCCTCCCCGCCCCCTGGCGCTGGGAAGCAATAGGCGTGGAGTTCTTTGCACGTCGGTCTGTCGGTGTGTTGTTGGCTGAGGGAATGAATGAAAGGAACTGGTGGACTGCAGCTCCCGGCAAGGCACGCAAGGCGAGCGAGGCCTCTGTGGCTCGGCGCCCCCAAGCGTCTTGGCTGCCACTTTCGCCAGATCCAGACCGGGGGAGGGACAGCAGCAGGTGACGACTGCAGGGCCGCGGGGCTATAAATAGGGGCGCACGTCAGCCGCTGGCCTGAGCCGCGGGGCAGCAGGCAGGGGCCTGGAGGGCAGGGGCCGGTGGCGCCATGGGGTCGCGAAGGGCCCCGAACCGCGAGTGGGGCACGAGCGTAAGGTCTGGGGCGGGGTGCGACGGTGAGGACGACGGGCCTGTGTGGATCCCTAGCCCTGCCAGCCGCAGCTACCTGCTCAGTGTGCGGCCTGAGACCAGGTGAGTCGCTCCCGAGGGGCCAGGCCCGGTCGGGGTGGGGCGTCCTGCGGCTGAGGCCTTTAGCAAGGTCCTCAAGTGGGGACCCACGCACTGTCCTGAGGCGCCACCGGATCTCTGGAGGCCTGCACAGCTGACGCCCTCGAGCTCTCTGAGCCTGGAGGCTCAAGGCCTGGGGCCAGGACAGAATGGCCCTCATGGCCCCTAGGTTCCTCTACCCTTCATGGCCCTTGGGCCCAGACCTCTAGCAATAAGAGGCACAAAAGAGAAGAAAGGCTCTATTTTGGGGTGATTTCACAGGGTAAATCCCGAAGATCTGCCTTATCTCCCCTACCTTTCCCTCTGTGTACCCCTCACCCCACACTCTCTACTCCCTGCGCTGGGATTCCACAGTTAGTGATAAGGAAAGCCATAGTGGCTGAAATTCCTGAAGGCTGGAAGGGAGGGGGGGAGAGCACTCACCAGGGTGGGGATGTAACGGGAGCCAGAGAGGGGCTGCTTAGCCCAGCATAGTGGGGGATTCACCAAGAAGAAATAAATCTATGCAAGTAAGTTTCCTCCTCTGGGCCCAGGCCTTTGGTCTTCCCCAAGACCCTTATGGGAGCTGGGATGAAGTGCTAGTTTGCCTTGTCTGGAGATGTCCATGATTGAGAGCTCTGAGGGAGCCAATTGTCCTGTCCAATTTGGGAGAGTGGGGTGCCAAGGAAGGGGTCTAACTGATGCATCCTTCACTACTCTTCCAAGAGTTTAAGAAGGTGTGGTGGCTTTGTTTTACAAGCTAGGCTACCCAAAGACGCACACAGGACAGACAATAGAGAAGTGTACAGGCACTCAAAGGTACACAGACACACCCAGACATCAGTGTTGCCATGGAGATGGGCACTTCCTGCCCCCTCTGGGCAGCTCAGTTTTCCCTCTAACCCTGGAGCCTGTTTTCCCCAAGGAAATGTGAGGCTTTGGCTGTTAGAATAGTGGTTGTTTTCATCTCCTCAGAACTTGGCTTGCTCTAGATTATGTAGAAAACAGCCTCTCCTCTGAGAAGCTGTCTCTGGACCTCATGTCCTCTGTTTCTAAAACAGCTGAAAAACAGGCATCAAGGACATTCAGGAAAAGTCCTGGGCACTTCCTCGTGGATTGGCTGAGTCCTATTGACCTTGGAGTTGGAAAAGTTCAGATGTAACCGGAACCTGTTTCTGCATAAAACTCGTCAAATGGTGTCACATGTCTGAGGCAAGGCTGAGGGCTGGTGTTAGTGACTGAGTCAGATGCTACAAGGCCCCTGACTGCCAGTGAAGAATACCCCTTCCTTCTAACCATTGTCTCTGCGGAAAAACAAACAAAAAACTGGGATGAAATGTGGACATTTATTCCTGTCCTTAGTGATAATCATTCCTTTATGGGAACTTCATAGTCATCTCACACTTGTCTCAATGACTTGTCTGAGTTTTGCCTCCCAAGTGTGGTCTTTGTCAATACAAGAGGTGGAAGCAGGGATCTTCTTAGAGACAGAAACAATGGATGGAGGAAGGGAAGGGTGACTTGAGAACTGTCCAGAATGGGGAGGGGAGAATGTCTGGGTTAGAACAAAAGCTTTTGGGAGAGTAGAGATAGGGAGGCTGCCTGGCTGAGCAGTTGTGTGGTAGATGATTCTCGATTATACACCTGATGAACACAAAGTATTGTGCCAGCCTGAGAGCTAGAGGTGGAATAAAAGTGGCTGACTTAAGTCCCCGTTGGACTTAAATGTAGGAGAAAGATGGGGCAATCTGCTTCCATAAAAGGAAACCCTATGAGGTAGTTCTACTCTGTCCTCTAGGGTCACTATGAGTTGAAATTGATGTGATGGCAGTGGGTACAGGTTGGGACTTAAATGTGAATGTTCCTAAAAGGCAACTCTTTTCATCAAGCCTTTGAAGGGGGCAGGGCAGGGGCAGTCAGTGAGAGGGTTTTCTAGCCCAGGACTCCAGGCTGTGTTTTGTCTCTGCAAAGTTTTTTTTTTTTTCCCCCCTTCTTTTTTTACTGTTCCTACTAGCTGGCCACTGACCCCCACAGCTCCTGAGGCACAAGGAAAGCCAGATTCCTAGGAAAAGCTTCTGGCCAAAGAAGGGAGAATGCAAATGGGGCTGCATGTTGGGGAAGAGGTGGGGGCAACAGCTCCCAGTTCTCTAGCCAAACCTGCCCTTTACCTCGAAGGAGGCAACGATATAGACCGCTGTCCCTCAGAACAGCTCCACTGCTCATGGGGACAGGGAGAGACCCAAGAGACGAGAGAGAAAGAGGGTTCCTTGAGGAGATCCCTAACTATCCCCTGGTCTAGCCTCGTTAAGAGAACATCAGAGTTACTGTATTTTCAGGAGGCCATCCACATCCTAGGGTTCTGACTGAGAGGTGAACCTGTCTATATTCATACTTTGCTCTAACATTTTTCAGGTCTACCTCTATAATGTCTGTCATGGAACTCAGGCATCCTTCTGGTGGGCCCTTGTGAGGATGGGCTGACCCTGGGAGAAAGCTGATGGACAGCAGGAGCACTGGAAGCCTTGGCCCAGGATCCCAACCCTCAATTTCCACTCCCATTCTGGAGGAGTTTCTAGTCCATAATTGGCTCCAATACCCATTGGGGTGGGAGCTCTGGTAGCATAGTGCCTAAGGCACTTTACTGCTAACCAGAAGGCTGGTGGCTCAAACCTACCAGCTGCTCCTCAGAAGGAAGATGGGGCAATCTACTTCCATAGTGATACTGCCTTGGAAATCCAAGGAGGGGTCACTATGAGTTGGGTCCGACTCAACGGCACATAACAGCAACAACAACACCCATTGGGGTCAGAGGCCTGATAAGCATATAATCCTACCAGACTGTAGGCCCAGCCTCCTAGGTCACTAGCCTCTAGTGCTTCACTCCTATGGGAAGGGAAAGTACAGTGGGCTATGGTGGGTTAAAGAATTATTAACTTCTGAGTGACACTCAGAAGTTCCAGAAGTCCCTGTCCCTACATTTCTTGGAGGCCTTGGAACAGGTGGGTTCAGAGGAGCAGCAGAGCCTGTAATGTTCATTCCTATAGACACCTTTGTAACCTCTGCTGTTCTGCTTGGGTCAGGAAGGTCATGGGGTGGGTGGCATGGGGTGGGGTAGGGAGTGAGGTGTCACAGAAACTGATGCATCAGGTCAGGACTTCCCAAGGACCTTTAGGTCCTAGAATAAATGAAAGCCAGTAGAGGATAGGAGGGTCTCAGCTTCCATAGCCAGTCCTGGGCCTCCACCTCTATCCCAGGCCCACTGCTCTCCTTTATGTGCAGAGACCTTCCCTTCCTGGTCCTAAATTCCCATTCTGTAAAATAAAGGCAGTATTAGGAACTCTTTAAGGCCTTCCTGCCCCAGCACTTGATATCTCTGATTCTGATTTCCTCAGAGGCAGTAAATGGGGAACTCCCCCCCTCCCCTCACCCCACTTCCACCTAGGCTAGGTGGGAGCCCTAAACCTAGCCCTGGCCTAGTAAGCAGGGAACAGGCAGGTCCTGGCCTGTGTAACCAAGCATGAACCCCAGAGGAAAAGGATGATAAGGCTAGGGAGCAGAGCATCCCAACCAGAGAGCTGTGGGGAGGAGGTGTGGGGGGGGCAGGTCACTGTCTCAGCTCAGCCCTTTGTCTACTTTCAGGTAGAAGCTGTGAAATTGTCATTTTCCTTTCTAGATTAGAGAACTGACTTGCTTCCTCTCTTTCCCAGGAAAGAACTGGACATAACAAAGTAGAAATCTCAGTTCTAAGGAGAGAGGCTAAAGGAAGTTCATGGTCAGGAAAGGATGGAGTTGGCTGGTGTCTTGGACCCTTGGGAGGTTCTGCCCACAAAGCCTCCAGAGGGTTTTTTTTTTTTCCTGAGCAAAGGCAGCTGCACTCTTGCTCCCTTCTTCCATCTTTTCTGGAGCAGCAGCTCCCTCTGGGGGACAAGACCCTTCCTGTTTGAAGGATGTTTTTACCTCATATCTTTCCCATCCTCAGAAGGAAGGTTGGGCAATCTACTTCCGTAGAGATACTGCCTTGGAAACCCAAGGAGCAGTAGCTGTGAGTTGGATCGGACTCAATGGCAGTGAGTTTGATTTTTTTTTTAAATAAAACAGCCAGTACCCATTGTATGAATAGCTCGGTGGTGTAGTGCCTAAGGCATTTGACTGCTAACCTGAAGGCTGGCAGTTCAAATCCATCAGCCACTCCTCAGAAGGAAGATTGGGTAGTCTACTTCTGTAGTGGTACTGCCTCAGAAACCTAAGGAAGGGTCACTATCAGTCGAATCTGACTTGATGGCTGTGAGTTTGGTTTGGATTTGGTTTACCCACTGTATGCCTAGCACTGTGCTATCTACCAAAGCTATGAACGAGTTACGTTTGAAGGCTCTGTGGACAGGATATAGTTGACTAGAAGGAAGCAGGGAGGACAAAAGTGAAGAACCAGGACTAGGAGCAGACATGTTGATGCCAGTGCAGGGTCAGTCTGCAGTGGAACGTGAGTGTTGGGAAGTGGAGGGAGCCGCGGTTGTAATGATGGTGTGAGCAGATCAGAATGTGTCAAAGAGTTGAGACTCAGTATGGTAGACAGTGGGGTAATTGTAACATTTTGTTATGTGGCATGATGTGAGGGGTAAGGAGAAGGTGGTTAACAAATATGGAGCCACGAATGAGGAGCACACCAGCAGGAGAAGAGAGCAAAGGAGAAAGAAGGGCCAAGAATTGTTGACTGACTGGATTTGGAGGATGGCGGAGAGGGAGGAGACACGATGGCAGGTTTTGAGTTAGGGGTTTGGGAGAATGCAGGGGACTGTAGGGGAAGCCAGGTTTTTGGGAAGAGGATGAGTTTGGTTTTGTGGTTAGAAAGAGATGGATCCCAGAGCACTTTCTTATCGTTTGAGAGGTAGACCTGGAGTGCTATTTAGCAGGCTGGGATGCTGGTAAAGAAGGGAGTGCTTTTTTCAAGGTAGAGATGGCTGAAGGGAGAGAATATAGATAGGGTGGCCCTGAGATCTCACTAAGAAATTGGGGTCGAGGGCCCCACTGGTGATACTCGGTTTATAAAAGGTAGAGGGAGAGGTCAAAGTTTGCTCATCCCACAGGAGCTGGATCTCCACAAAAGGGCCATCCTGTGTGGGTCCTCACCCTCCAGTGGCCTACTTGTCTCAGCTAATGTCTGTTCCCAGCCTCCCCAGGGAGGAGGGATGATGGTGCCTCAAGGCAGAGGGCCTCTGTGCTGGTCTGATTGAGCTGGGGGCCTCCCAGCTCCTGCTGAATTAACCGCTTTGTTTTCTCCTCTTCTTCACTGTCCCAGCTGGTTTGCCTTGTGTGGCCTCCTTAACCGAACTTTAACATATTAATGGTGGGTGTTCTCCAAGCCACCTGTCTCCTTACTGGCCTGCCAGGGGATTTCCAGGATTGGGGCCTCTTCTCCCCCAAAAAGGCCCAGGGCTGAAGCTGGAGCTGCCCCCGGACTGGTGTGCTACAGGTTGGGGAAATGTTCCAGGCAGCTGTAAGCCCCATTCTTGGAGGCAGTGACCCAAGTACCTGGGGTATACCTTTCTCAACATGAAGCCCCAAGGGGCCTCCTTCCTGCCTAACCATTTTCCTGGACTCTGCTGCATTTAACCAGCTCTTGATTTCAGATACATTGGTGTCCGGTGGTGAGGCCACTTGCTAACTGGAGCAGGCCAACTAAGACAGCTGGGCCCTTTTAATAGAAAGGCCTCTGGGCCCCAGATGATGGCTGATTAATACTTTGCAACTGTTGTTGATTTCACCTCCTCCTCTCCTTGCTTTTCTGGCCTAATGATTCCATTTGCTGTTTTTGCTTAGCTTATCAAGCAACCGGTTGTCTCACCGCAGCTCTGGAAGGTAAATGCACATTGCATTACATTTCTTGGACTGCACTTCTTGGGTCTGGGCCTCTGGGTGACTGAGGGAACTGTGGATAATTGCTTGTGCACTAACCAATCTGCATGAGGTAAGGGGAGGGCTGGAGGGTGGGTGGGGAAGGCTGTGAGAGGGTACTCATGTGAGTATGAGTCTCACAGGGACCAGGGCTGATGTTTGCATGGACCATTTGGAAGGGGTGCAGGAACCCAGGAATAGATATGGTCAGGGGCTCCTGAGATGCCTGCAACAATCTCTGTGCCCCAGGGAGAGACACCATGGGAACAAAACTGGTCACATGATCCACTTCTCCCTAGCCTAGGTTTCCATGGTTTTTGTAACCACATATCCAGGTTTGACACCTTAGTGCCTATTGTCTAACAATGGCCACTACCTTTAAAAATATCTTTTTTTTTTCTTTTTTAATTTCCTAAGTTCTCCTTGAGTCTAGTCCGACTAGATAGCACATAACAACAACAACAAGTTCTCCTTTTACCAGCTCTTTTTCTGATTTTCCCTTTCCTTTTGTTCCTCCACACTCCAAACTGTGAACTTGATGAGGTCAGGCAACACCATGTTAACATGTTCCTGTACTAGCTGGATTTACCTTAGAGCCAGTGCAGAGTCTGAGCAGTCCCATCACTGAGGTATGCTGGCTAAGGATTTTCCTCTTACCTTCTGAGCTGGGACAGCTCTCTAACCCTGGCTGAACTGACTGTTATGATCGAAGTGGGAACATTTCCTGGCTACTTCCCACCACTTGGGCCTCATCCCAGACTCTGGTAGGTTTGGGGAGAGTTGGCTACAGTTACTTTATACAAAGAATTCTGAGTAGCTAACAGGTTTGTGGGTAGCTAATGGTGTCTACAGATGTTGTCAGCACTCACCAAGTATATGGTCATTTGATAAGGGAGAGCACTGGGAAACCTCTGTTCTGCAATGGGGGATTGGAGGGCACTCATAGTCTGAAGAAGGTGGAAGAGAGGTTGTACACAACTGATTCAAAGCAGAGTATGCTAAGTGCTGAAAGGAGAGGACTTGGAGTTTTACTTAAAACAAGCTAACTAACCAAACTTAAGGACAAAGTTAGGTTCCTTTGAACACCATGAAAATCAAGAATTCTGGTGTTCTTTGGAGACATATGATTAGGCTGTGATATTCTTATAAGGTCACAGAGTTGGCAGGACTTGGAAGTGTTAGGGTGGGACGAGACCATTTCCAGATGTGTAGACTTCCTGGCTTTCCAGGGAACTGGAAGCAACATACTCAGAGGCCATCCTACATCTCCATGGTTTGGAGGATGGGACAGGAAGCTTGTGGCCACTAGAAGCTGTGTGACATTCAGTGGAATATGACAGCATATGCAGTGACTTTCCCTGTCCCCTCAAATGCATCTCAAACCCATTCCACTGGAGAGCTTTTATTTTGTCATATCTCAGCAGTTACTTATGATTTTCAAACTTAAATTTTTTTTTTTTTTTTGTAATAGAGCTTTGGATCTACTGTTCTTTCCCGTTCAAAAAGAGTAATGGAATACAATTTATTGAATTTTTAGCACTTACCTTTGCAAATTTTCTTGAAGTATAGTTCTCATGTTTTCTGACTTACCCAGAAGCTGAAATGGATTTCTTAGATTTGCCTAAACAGCTTCATCCCAAAGAGCCTAAGGTGAATATTGGATTCGGGGTCATGTTCATGGGTGAGGTAAGATTCCAATTATGTAGGGAGGATATAACTAGGGATGTTTTGAATTAGCTGTAGAATCATAGAAGTCAGATTCCTTTTAGCATGGCAGCTTCCTCTAGAAACTGTTGGTTGAGATTTGGTATTCACCAAAGTTAGAAATTGCTGTTAGTACGATAGTAGCAAGAGTATTTTTCAATTTTACTTCCTGAGTGTTCAAGGAGTTGATAGCTTATGTCCTGAGCCTATGACCCTCTATTTCTGAGTGGCTTAAGAGGGAAAGGAAAGGGAGTTCAATGAACAGATGAGTCCTGTGTGAGAGTATTGCAGAGTTTTATGGAAGTCTAACTGCAGACCCAACTCAAGTATTCAAGTATGTGGGGCTGGAATCCCCTTTCTGCATAGTCCGTGTTGGGGAGGGCTCCTGTCACCTCCTAAATTCCTATGGAGAAACCAAGGCTCAGCCCTCATCAGCCTTATTTGATTCTACACACTTCCTGGGATGCAACCTTTCTCCTCAAACTCAAGTCCATAAATTGAATGTGGAACCCCACCACCACCACCACCACCAAAGTGTGTAGGTTGTAAGCCCTGTTTGCTTGAGCTCCTACAAATTCTCACTCTGCCTTCTGATGAAGAGGTCATGGACAGATATGCATTGCCCTTGGGTGACTACCCCTTCCAACAAGGCACCGAGAAAAGCAGCTTTCTCACCACAATTGCTCCTGCTTCTCTTCACTTTGCCCCTTCACAGTCCTTCCTGCTGCTCACGTCAGGTGTGTGTGTGGGGAGGGGGAGCAGGGTTGACCACAGACTGTGCACCACACAACCTGGCTATGTGGTTGTGCTTCAGAATGCCTGGTAATGCACCTGTGTCTCTGCTGGACCATGAAAGGGTTTGGCATGATGGTTTGTTTCCTGTGCCCAGGAAGGAGAGGACTGTAAGCCCTGAGCATTCCTGGTGAGTTTGTGCTGGGCTCTGAATTTGGGGAGATGTCTATAGTTCCCTATGTCACAAGGGAACTAAACATCCTGGCTTTTGCAGGGTGGACCTGTTTGTGGTTTAGCAACTGGTTGGTTCTGGAGCTGCCAATTGTGTATTCCCTGTAGTATGTGGTACCCAAGAATGGAGCAGGGGAGCTATGCCTGGCTTTCCACTGCAGGTCCAGAGCCTGTTGGGGTCGGAGTTCATTTGAGTCTCTCTTTTCTGATACCCAGGAGCTCTGGTGGTGCAGTGGCTAAAGCACTTGGCTACAGACTGAAAGGTTGGTGGTTTGAAACCACCCGTGGCTCTGTGGGAGAAAGATGTGGCAGTCTGCTTCCATAAAGATTTACAGCCTTGGAAACCCTATGGGGCAGTTTTATACTGTCCTGTAGGGTCACTATGAGTCAGAATTGACTCAATGGCAGTGAGTTTGGATTTTTGGGTTTCTGATACCCCTAGGAATTAGAGTCAATCTTTGGGTCTAGGCTCCTATCATTGGCTGATTTGTTTTTTGTCCACTTTGCGTCTGTGCTCACAAATGCAGAAGTTTTCCTTCTGAGCCCAAGTTCCAGGAGAGGTCCCTGAGCTCCAAGGACTTGTGTATCCTTGAGAATTGGCCAGCCTTTCCCTCTGTGGCATGAATGGAGGCTCTGCTGTGCTGGGGGCTCCATCCCTGAGGCTTGATATATCCATGTGTATGTTTTCCTCATGCACGAACTTTTCTGGAGATGAAAGGTAGAGGGTGAAGCAAGGTCCCTAGTGGGATGTGGTGGGGACACCTGATCTGAGGACTGGCATGCTTAGGAGCTTGGCCTGTGGTCAACAGCCTGCCTATTGTAATGGCCTGGGCCAGGATTCCATTCAGCCCCTGGGCACCATCCCTGCCCTTGACCTGGCCAAAAGGCCCAGACACTCTTGAGGAAAGAGTTGCCCAGGTGCTGTGGCCATGGCCATGGCATGATGGATGACACTGCATAGGTAGAGAGTTAAGCTGCCTTGGACAGTGCCGGACTATGGTATATTTTGGGAAAGGGCTGCTCTGAATAGCTCTTTGCCTTTCCTAGGAGCACCTTCTGCTCCATCATTGCTCAGCTAACAGAGGAGACCCAGCCGCTATTCGAGACCACGCTCAAGTCCCGGGCTGTGTCCGAGGACAGCGACGTCAGGTTCACCTGCATCGTTACAGGTAATGAGGCCGTTTGTGTGCCCCATGCCAGGGCCTCTGCACAGAGCAGAGTCCAAAGAGGCTGTGGAAACTGGCATGGTGTGGGAGTTGGCTGTGTGTATAAAACTATGCAAGTTGACGTTTGCTTTCTTAACTTTTTCCCCAGTTTATTCTCCCTACGTGGGCTGGGTCCCTTTCTCCTCCTATTCTGGGACATGAACACACCCTGTTCTTCAAAGCCTGCCCTCACTAAATGTTTCTCACTCTCAGGTATATATACATGTCTGATGAATCTTAGTCCCAAGGATAAAAGTTCTCAAACTGAACGACAGCTTTGAGGCCATCTCCCTGAATGGCTCATTTTATAAGTGAGTAGTTTGAGGCTTGGGAGACCAAAGCCTGAGAAGTAGTAAAGCGTGGTGATTATGAGAACAGACTCTAGCTGGACTGCCTGGTATGGAATCCTGGCTCATCCCCTTTCCAATGATATGATATTAAGTTGCATAATCTCTTTGTCTCTCAATTGCCTCATCTGTAAACTGGGGATACAAATAGCACTCATTTCATAGGGTTTTTGTGAGGATTCCTTGGAGTGATATTCCTTGGAGGTAGAGTAATAGAAGGATGAGAGTGCTGGGAAGCTGGCTCCATGTATTGTTCTTTCCCCAGACTTCCAAGCAGAGGTTCCTATACCAACCTGATCTGCTTTGGGCACCATGGGCACCTGCTCTCCCAGCTCTGCAACCATAAGGTCAAGGGGTCCAGCTCAAGGTTCCCACCAAGAGCCTGTTCCTTCTGTAAATCAAGGACATAGGATCAGAAACTTCTAGGTGGCTTCCAGTTATGATATTCCCTGATTCTGGAGAACTTATCTGCCCCAACCAGCTAAACAGCTTGTCTGGGTATTGTGTTCCCATGGGTGGTTTTTACCTTTATCCAGAACCCTCTGAGCTCCAGGCTGAGAACTCTCTGTTCTGGGAGCCACAGAGACATGCATGCATCCCTCACCTTTGTACAGCATATTACATCTTGCAAAGTTCATCTGTTTCCATTGTCATTGAATTCTTACAACAACCCTATGAAGTAAGTGCTATTATTAGTTAAATTTTACAGAGAAGGAAACTAGGAGGAGTTAGATGACTTGCCAATGTCCACAAAGTCGGTAAGGAGGAGATAACGACTTTTCCTCTCTGTGGCATCTGGCACTGCTACATTTCCTACATTATTGTGGTACTAACAATTTCTAGAAAAACCTAGCTCTTTCAGAACTTGATGCTTTTACATATGCTGTATTTTTTTAAATCTAGAAAGAAGACCTTAAATTATACTAAAAAGCATATATCAAAATACAGCAGTTTGTCACTTTCCTTAATTTGTCTTTCTAGAAGCAACCATTTTCAACTTTTAGCCAATTTCTTCTGGGGTGTATTCATTTCCATAATGTTAAGTTATATGTGAATTCTGCTAACTTTTTTCTTTTTAATTTCACACTTTTTTTTTTTTTTTTTTAATTGTGATTTGGGTGAAAGTTTACAGAGCAAATTCACTTTCCATACAGCAGTTCACATGAATTCTGCTAACTTTTGAGTCTTCAATTTTATTTTTCTCTAGTGGCAGAATTATGGATGGATTACTATTTTACAAAATTTTTTATTATGATTTGGGTGAAAGTTTAGAGAGCAAATTCATTTTCTATACAGCAGTTCATCCACTTTTGTCTCATGACATTGACTGCAATTCCCCACATTGTAACAGCTCTCTTCCCACTTCTTCCCTGTAGTCACCTCTTCCCTGTGGCCTTCCTTCCCAGGCACTCCTACCCCACCAAGCTGTCTCCCTGTGAAAACACTGCCCTTCTATTGTCCCACGATTGATTGCTCCAAGAAGTGTATCTCCAATTACCAAACTGACTGCCATCAAGTTGTTTCTGACTCATAGCAACCCCCATTGGGTTTCTGAGACTGTAAATCTTTATGGAAGTAGATTGCCCAATCTTCCTTCTGTGGAGCAGCTGGTGGGATTGAACCACTGACTTTCTGGTTAACAATCAAGTGCCTTATCCACTAAGCCACTAGAGCTCCTTAGGAGTGTATCTACCTGATGTAAGTGTTCACCCATATGTCAATCTATTGTTTGGCTGGAAGCCACAGGAGTGAGTTCAGTTCCAGACCTGAAGGGTATCTAGGGGCCACAGTCTCAGAGGTCTTAACAGGCTCTATCAGCCTTGAGTCTTCAATTTTAGATATTCTCCATTGTCGTCTTCTTATGGTAAATAAGGAATTAGCTCTCTTATATCATCATTTTCTCTGCCTTCCCTTACTCACCCTCTCAACATAGTTACATCATAATTTTGCTTAAATTAATATTTATTGTTTATTATCTTATGCCTATGCCGATATTGAGGAGCTCTGGTGACGTAGTGCCTAAGGCATTTGACTGCCAACCAGAAGGTTGGCGGTTCAAACCCACCAGCTACTCCTCGGAAGGAAGGTTGGGCAATCTACTTCTGTAGAGATATCACCTCAGAAACCCAAGGAGGGGTTGCTATGAGTCAGATCCGACTCAACAACAGTATGTTTGGTTTTTTTTGGTTTATGCCAATATTGTTTATAACTGACCATTATAGTATAGTATGATTATATTTATTTCTTTTTTTCTGTTTTTCCTAAAGTTAACACTTATATTTTTCATTTATGTTGCATGATGCCTAAGGCATTTGACTGCTAACAAGAAGGCTGGTGGTTCAAACCCACCAGCCACTCCTTGGAAGGAAGATTGGGCAATCTACATCTATAGTGATACTGCCTCGGAAACCCAAGGAGGGGTCGCTATGGGTGGATCTGACTTGATGGCAGTGAGTTTGGTTTTTTAGTTTTTGATTGGTAATTTGTATTATACTTTCTAATAGTCTTCTAATACAGTTTTCCACATGATCCGTGTTATCAATAATCTACCAGTGATGTTCCTTGGTGACATCCCTCTTGGAGATCTCTGTTCTTCTTCCATATGAACTGATGGCCCTTTAGGCCTGATTGACAGCTGCTATCTTGGGTTTTCCCTTTGCCTTTCCTCTGGGTTTGATTCTGTTTCTTAGATCTGATGTTTTTATCTTTCTTGGTTTACTCCCTGGCTTCATAGAAAGACATCCTTTAGTAGTTGCATCAGGTCCTAAAGTTGGTACAACAGTAGGGGACATTGTGGTGACAACTCTTGACCAATCTCTCCTTCGAGTCATTCTGCTCCAGTATTACTGAATGTCTGATGCACAGTTGTCATCCTTTATTATCATCCTGTAGATTCCCTTTACTTCTCTCCTGTGATGAATTTCCTGGGTTATTTTTTCACATTTCTCTCTATTTGGGTTTACATTCTTGTTTTGGTAGCTTCCTAAAAGAGTGCACAGGAACTCAAATTAGACTCCTTGTGTCTAAAAATGTCCTTCTTGATGGAGAGTTTGGCTAGGTATAGAATTTTAAGTTAATTTTTCTCCAGAATTGTAACGACTTTTGTTGCTCCTTTGTCTTCTTGCTTCCAGTGTTGCTGTTGAAAGTGGGAAGACAAGTGACCAGTTTTTTTCTCTCTGGAAGCTTGTAAGATCTCCTATTTGTCCCCAGTGTTCTGATACTTCATAACGATTTATCTTTTTATCGTTGTAAAAATATGTAACATGTTTGTCAGTTCAACATAATAATTTATCTTAATATGGATGTCTTTTCATGCTGTGACATACTTGTATATTTTCAATCTGGAAATGGCTGTCCTTTCATTCTAGGAAATGGGGGATTATTTTCATGTTGATTCCTTCCTCTCATTTTCTGTTCTTTCTTTCTGGAACTCTTTTTATTTTGATATATACTCCCCTGGACTGGTTTTTAATTTTCTTATTCTTTCATCTCTTTGTCTTTTTACTTGACTTTCTGGGAGGTTGCTTCAATTTTATCTTTCAACTCATCTATTGATTTTTTTTTCAATTTTAAAGAGCTTTTTTTTTTGGTCATTTTCTGTTGTATCCTGCTCTTTTCATGAATGTAATATCTTCTCTTAGCTCTCTGAGTCTATTAAAGGTAGTTTTCAAAAAGTTCCTTTTCCTTTAGGAAACACAAAATAGTTTGTATTTCCTACAATTTACTTTTTAATTCCTTTTTGTCCTTAATCCTCTACTTAAAGGCTTTCTGTAGACATCTAGAAATTCTTGGCTGTCAGATAATGGTTAAGAGTGGGAGACAAAGGATGATTGGAAGTTCTGAGTAAGTAGGAGGGTCCAGAAAAGTTGGGTCTTTCCTATAGGGTGATTTGGGTGACTACTGTTGGGAACTGCCAAAATAAGTTACTTTGCTTTCTTCCTCTTGTATAGCTAGATTCCCTAGTGAATGCTCTTCTAGTACCTTGCCTGAAAGACAAAGGTTTTTGGGGAGCTACCCAGATTAGAGAATTGGATTGGGCTGCCTGCATAATGCATTTATTTTATATGTATTATTATTACACTTTTTTTGTTTTCCATAGAGTAGTTTTGCCCTCACCTGTACTGGCTTATTTGTAATCCAAAATTTTGCCTTTGGAAAAATAAACTTCACCTTTGATTGAAGTAGGGAAGGAGCAGACACTCAATGGCATGGAGTGAATGAGGGAATCAAGGGATCTAATTTCTCCTCAAACAACTTTTAACCAGTCCTCCTTCACTTTGCTCCCAGTTTCAAAGATACCTGATTTCCAGCTGTTACGCTTTTTGGGAATTTTCTGGTATTAAAAGGGTCATTCTCTGTTTTTCCCACTGCTAGTTTAGGGTTAACTTTCCTTAGGTCTGCTAAGTCAGTTTCCACTTGTCTGTCTGCTTCCCAGCTTTCAAAATTTTGTTGTTCCTATTGCTCTCCTTGCCTGTTCTCCCCATCTTCATCGTCTTATATCTTCATAAAATAAGTCCAGTTAGTATATAGTGTAGTGGGTTTTAGGGAGGGAGTGAAAATAGATGGCATGTTTATTCTGTTTTTTTTTATCTAGAATCCTGTTCCTTCTTTGTCTGG